AACAAACATTTATCTGTCGGTATTGTTTATAGCATTAGCAACAACGTTTTATCTGTCGGTATTGATTTTATTGACATTTAATTTAAATATCTTAATTATAAAAAACCATAAAATTAGGCATCATTTAGTACACGAAATTGAGGTCATGAATTTAAATTTTTTTATTTGGTCGCACAAAAATATATGATATTGAAAATGAATTATAAATTTAAAAGATAAAAGATTAAAAATTAAAGATTAAAAATATTTTTTTACATTGAATATTTACAGATTAAAAATTATAATTTTTAATTTCAAATTTTTAAGTTATACTGTAAGTTAAATTAAAGGACTAAACTGACCGAATAAAATCAAGATATATGATAAAAGAACAAATCGACAAATTAAAATCGAGAAGGATGAAAATGCTAGTGGAGATATGTATAATTACTCATATTATTGATGTAGAATAATAAGGTAGAGATTCTTTGACCGATCGGGCCCCTAGTGGTCTCGCCGAGACGTTTCCGGAAAGGGGTAGACTGCTAAAATCAGACACCCGATAGCCAAAGTTATGGTTCAAAGAGTGTGGCAATCCAAAATGCTCCAATTTCCTGCTAGGCTTGCGGACCTTCATAAATGCTAACTAATCATTTTTAAGTGTTGAAATAAACATTTCTCAAATTGAAAAAAAATACTCCATATGTGAGAAGATCCATGTGAACTATAGGCCCACCATAGAAACACTCTTGTCGGATAAGTATAGAAACGATAATCTTTTATTAGTAGTCCGTTTCATCTTAAAATACAGTTTTTGTTGCCACAGTTGTCAAAAATTAGTTAAGACTACTATTTCTAAACAGTAGTCTGGTTTTTAAGTTTATAATTGTTTTTAAACTTATATGAAATAGTATTTTATTGTAAGTTGTATGTTTCATATGGTTTTGTTTTGCATAGTTGTTTATTATAAGAATAGATGACTCCCTTGTAACAGTAGTATATTTATATAGCGTAGAACTGAAAGGTAACCATGCAAGGATAGGCAGCAGAATATAAAAATTTTTAACATCCTAACATGATTATCTTGCTCAGAATCACGTACTAAGACATATAGTAGTAAAAAATTTATACCTTTCTCCATAAGCGGTAAAAACAAAGAAGTCGTAGGAAGAGCGTTGAAAGTGCAAACGTAACCGTTCAAGCGTCCAGTCTCCAACTTTGACACACGAACAACGCCAGAGTCTACCACAATCTTTATGCTAGTAAAGATTATAGTAGTATAAAATATAAAGATTAAAATTTGGGATAATAATCATCTTGTATATTTCTATAGAAAATATTTCTAATAATATTTAGAAAATATTATAGATATTTTCTATACACAAAATGATATTTATAGAACCAAAATAAGATTTTTCTCTCTCTTAAAATGGTATGGCCGAATAAAAAAAGCTACATTAGAAAAATGGAGTGAATTGTTTAAATAAAACAAAGATGCTCCATTATTTGGTCATTAGCTAAATGACAAAATTAATTAGTCCACTAATTTATCAATCAAGCAAAACATTAGCAATTTGTCAATCCATTTTATCATATGGCCGAAAGTTTTGATTTGAGAAGGATATTTAAAATCCTTCTCCACTCAAATGTTCAAAGTGTATTTTATTTGACACCAAAAATTAATATAAAATTAATTTTAAATCAAATAAAATACCCATGTCATTTTTAAACAAGTATAAAATATACTTCAAATAGTTTATGTCAAAATAATTATTTTCATAATTAAAATGACAAACCAAAATAAAATATTCAAAATACAATATATATATATATATTAATCGGCACATATATATAAAATATATATATAACCGAATATTTATATATATAATATTATATTCCAAAATATTTTATTTTACTATTTTACAAATATACAAATTACTTATTATCCCATTGTTTAATCCTACTCCTTAAATTGTCCAAAGTGTGTGACTCGTATAGGCACTTATAAAGCTAGCCACAGTATTGGCTCTGCAGCAATACTATAAGCAATTAGAGGCATCTAGCAACATATTATTGCCCCCAGATTATAAGTTAAGACGTTTGCACCGTCAAAACCTTTCCACGACTCAGACTCCATGTAACTGTATCCCTTTGTCTCAATGTCTAAACTCAATGCAAGGGATTAATAAAATCCAACTTGTATCCATTAAGTCATTCACTGATTTATCAAGTCCGACTAATAGGAACAGACGTCATAAAAGCATCTCAGCATGGCCATGCAATTTCCTTAGTCATAACTTATCAGTGGGCCCCATAAGACATTAATCTCTTTAAAAAGAGTAGTGACAAATCCTATG